AAGCCAAAAGCAACTAATTAAAACATCAAAGTCGCAGGGTTCATTAGCTCGGCCTCGGCGCTGGGAGGAGGTGATTGGGATGGTGACACAGAGATTGTGGCTGTCACTGCTCCCAGGGACCCCAGGGCTGGCCCTGCACCCCAAAACACATTCCCTGTCCCGGTGCCACTGGGAAAACCTCTGGAAAACCACTGGGCTGGGCAGGATCCTGCCACCTTTGCCTGCAGCAGTGTGGAGAGGAGGGAGGTTGGGGACAGCTCTGCCACCCTCTGCCATCAAAGCTGCTTCCCCCAGGAGCATCTCCAGCCCCATGGGATCCCCATTCCCACCCGGCACAACACGAGGGGGAAAGGGATGGGATCAAATTCCCAGCTGGCCCCCACTGATTGATCTCCTCCTCTGCACACCAGCTCCCCTCCGGTGTGCCAGAGCAGCCGTTCCTTACCGGGAATGCTGCGGGCATCCAGCAGCATCCCTGGATCCGGGAGATCCCAGCAAGCCACAGGAGAGGGGGAGCAGCAGGGGAAAGAGGCACTGCTCGTGCTGCAGTGGCCACTTCCCACCTGAGGGCCTGCATCCACTGCCAGGGTCACACCGAGCACTGGTCACACCAGGCACTGGTCACACCGGGCACTGGTCACACTGAGCACTGGTCACACCGAGCACTGGTCACACCGAGCACTGGTCACACCGGGCACTGGTCACACCGAGCACTGGTCACACCGGGCACTGGTCACACCGGGCACTGGTCACACTGAGCACTGGTCACACTGAGCACTGGTCACACTGAGCACTGGTCACACCAGGCACTGGTCACACCAGGCACTGGTCACACCGAGCACTGGTCACACTGAGCACTGGTCACACCAGACACTGGTCACACCGAGCACTGGTCACACCAGGCACTGGTCACACCGGGCACTGGTCACACCGAGCACTGGTCACACCAGGCACTGGTCACACCGGGCACTGGTCACACCGGGCACTGGTCACACTGAGCACTGGTCACACTGAGCACTGGTCACACCAGGCACTGGTCACACTGAGCACTGGTCACACCAGGCACTGGTCACACTGAGCACTGGTCACACCAGGCACTGGTCACACCGAGCACTGGTCACACCAGGCACTGGTCACACCGAGCACTGGTCACACCAGGCACTGGTCACACCGGGCACTGGTCACACCGAGCACTGGTCACACCGGGCACTGGTCACACCGAGCACTGGTCACACCGGGCACTGGTCACACCGAGCACTGGTCACACCGGGCACTGGTCACACCGGGCACTGGTCACACTGAGCACTGGTCACACTGAGCACTGGTCACACTGAGCACTGGTCACACCAGGCACTGGTCACACCGAGCACTGGTCACACCGGGCACTGGTCACACCGGGCACTGGTCACACTGAGCACTGGTCACACTGAGCACTGGTCACACCGAGCACTGGTCACACCGGGCACTGGTCACACCGGGCACTGGTCACACTGAGCACTGGTCACACTGAGCACTGGTCACACTGAGCACTGGTCACACTGGACACTGGTCACACTGAGCACTGGTCACACCAGGCACTGGTCACACCAGGCACTGGTCACACCGAGCACTGGTCACACTGAGCACTGGTCACACCAGACACTGGTCACACCGAGCACTGGTCACACCAGGCACTGGTCACACCGGGCACTGGTCACACCGGGCACTGGTCACACCAGGCACTGGTCACACCGAGCACTGGTCACACCGGGCACTGGTCACACTGAGCACTGGTCACACCAGGCACTGGTCACACCAGACACTGGTCACACCAGACACTGGTCACACTGAGCACTGGTCACACCAGGCACTGGTCACACCAGGCACTGGTCACACCGAGCACTGGTCACACCGGGCACTGGTCACACTGAGCACTGGTCACCTCCCCTTCTAAGGGCTGCATCCCATTTCCACGGCCACACTGAGCATCGGTCACTTCCCATCGCCACGGAGCACGGCTCACTTCCCATCCCGGGATCTGCACCCACTGCCGTGCTCACACTGACCCCTGGTCACTCCACAAAGGACCTGCACCCATTTCCACGGCCACTCCGAGCCTCCCTGCCGGGGCTCCCCGTCCCTGCCCAGCCGCTCCCGGACCCAGCGGGGTCCCCGGGCTCTCACCCCGGTTTTTCCTCCGGCTCCTTTCCCAGCACGGCGCAGCCGTGCCCGGCGGGGAGGAGCCGTGGGCGAGGAGGAAGCCGGAGCTGCCAGCCTTTCCCCGGGCCCTGCTCGGGGAGCGGCAGCAGCGGCGAGCGGGCGGCGGCCGCGAGTCCCCCCCAGCGCAGGGATTGGGGTCCCCAAATCCCCGCAGGCTCCAACCCGCGCTGCTGGAACGGGCGCGTGTGGCCACTGCGGGAAAACTCCGCTCGTGGCCTAGCAGGGAGGAGAAACAGGAAAAGGGGAAAAAAAAACAAACCCCAAACCGCAACCCCAGAGAGGAGCAGGGAACGCGCGGAGAAGCCAGGAAGGGGCAGGGAAGGAGCGGGGGGCAGGCGGGGAAGGAGCGGGTTCGTCTCGCAGGGCTTGGGGACAAGGGGAAACTCCGGGCTCGGCTCCTCCCCGGCGCTTTCGACTGCTAAACAATAGTGGAGAGGAGCAGCCGTCCCTCCCTGCTCTTACTCATCCTGCACAAGGACCGGTGCCACCCTTGGGCTGCCCCCGCCCTGCCCGGCCTCTGCCCGGGTGCTCGGGCACGGCGGCTCCCGGCTCCGGAGGCGCAAGGCTCGGGTGACAGCGACAGATCCCCCGGGAAGAGATGCGGACCCACGGCACGCGAGCGGCGAGCCGGCAGCGCAGGGAATTCCCTCCGTCATCATCGCC